TATAAATATCAGCATAGTATAGTGTTAAGTGATATAGATATTTTAAATTTTTCCAAAACTTTGATTGAAGATATCTCGATAACCACTTGACCAAAATCGATAAACTTTTTTTGAATTCTACAGATCTGTAGAATTCAAATAAAAAAAAGTTCATCAATTTTGGTCAAGTGGTTGTCAAGATATCTTCGATCAAAGTTTTGGTATAAATATTAGTACAGCTATAGCATTAGCAAAAAAAAATAAATAAAAATTTTTGAAAAAATTTGTACATCAAAAAAAATTTCGAAAAATTTCAAAAAGTTTTCAAAATATTTTGAAAAAATTCAAAAATTTTCGAAAATATGCAAAATTTAATATATTAAATAAGATAATTAAACAAATAAAAAATTATATAATAATAACATAATAATGACTATATACATATCAATATAAATTTATATATTATTTATTAATTAATTTAGTTTATTTAATTTTATTTTATTTATTCAACAATTGTATAATAATAACTAGAGATTTTATTAAGATCATCCTAACAGATTTGTTTAAACAACATTTTATAGTTATAGTATATGATCATCAATATGCAGATCATTATTTGATATACGCAGAGTATTATATTAAATGCACAGGAGTAAAATAAACAAAATAAATAAAAGGGGTTAACAAACAACAATTAATTTGCTTTTCTTGTGCATGCTTATCTAAAAAAATCGTAAAATGGTTAGATAGATATGTTTGCAAGAAAAATGTTAACATCTTCAAGTCAATATATATAGTATGGCAGTATAACTTACTTTTCGTTAGTTGGTATTTCGAATATGTGTGTTTTTTAACTGGCCTGTACTTTAGATTTCTACTATTGTGTCAAACCAAAGAAAAGCTAGATACGTATTCCCAAGTTAATAATTGATAAGACCGCATTATATAGCCCACGTTAGTTATTTTAATTCTTTTTTTTTTTTGGTTTAATGTAGTATTGGATACGAATTGTCTTCTAACTAGTCTATATTTTGAATTCTTATTTTTCTATACATTTGTCTAGTGAAAAGTTCAATGCGCGTAACAAAATTTATATCACCAAGCTGATATTTGGTATGACGGTATTATCAACGTTGGTTCTTTTAATTCTTTTTTAAATTAGGATAGTGGTTTTATGGATTATCTTTCTAACATATATATTTATTAGATCCTACGTTTGCAAAAGGACTATGTATACTGTATATTTGTCTTGTAAAATAATCGAAGATAGTATTATAGTATAACAGTATATATCGGGTAGTACTTTTTTTTATATTAATGTAATAGTTTTGTCTTTTTTAAACTATGCATAATTACAAAACTTTCTTATTGTTCTATATATGTTTAGCCTTTGTTTAACTATTTGGGAATACCTTGAAAATAGTTATTAAAATCTCAAGGATTATCTGCAATTGATTACTTTACAAAAAATAGAACAACCTAATATTAGCGATGACAATTTAAGTGAGATAAATAATTATGATGAGGCTTATGAAGATGTTCATGAAAATATTTCATCTCACATTAGAATAACAAAAAGAAGACCACTTGAAATACTTATGATTCCTGATGCTGCTTTTGAGCAAGCTTCAAAGTTGTGTGTTAGAATGAAGTTTGATCATTAGGATCATATGTATTTGGTACTATTAGCATATGGGCAGCAAAGTGGTTTTGTATAGAGAATTCAAGACAAAAAATTAGATAAAAATAGTGATGTATATAAATATATCTTCGAATGCTGACATGTTGGAAAATTCAAATCAAAAAAAACAGCAACAGATCTTTCAGAACAACGTCATAGAGAATCGGTTAAGACAGATTGTACTTGTTTCATTAATATGTGTTGGCTATTTAAATCATCAAATTTAACTATTACCAAAATGAACCTTGAACATCATGGATATGATCTTAACTCTGAAATAATTTGTTTCGTTGATATTTATCGATAGCTTTCTTAAAATATAATAGACAAGATTAAATTTTATATTAATACAATTCATGATATTAATCAGCATACTTTAAGGCAGCTTCTTTGTGGTAAATTCAAGGAGCAGTTATTTTTGGACAAAGATTTGGCTAATGCTATCCAACAATTTCGAAGAAATAATATAATAGATTCTGAATGGGATCCTGAAAATGATGCCTCAAATCTTCTTAAAGAGTTACAAAAAATGAAGAAAAATGATTCTACATGGTTTATAACTTATCATTATATTAAGAATCATCTTTATTATATATTTTGGATGACATCTTATCAACAAACTCTTTATTTAAAGTATTACGATATTATTTTAACGGACAATACAGTACGAACAAATAAATATCATATAGCATTATATTTATTTGTGGGTGTCGATCAGCATCACTATTCAAGAGTAGTAGTTTAGGCATTAATGTCAGATGAAACAACTTCATCATATATATGGGTACTTAAAAATCTTCTGGCAGCTACAAACAATTTATTACCAATGACGATATATTCTGATTGTGATACTGGATTGGGGCCAGCAATTGAATCTGTACTTTCAACTATACAACATATATACTATATTTTCATGTAGTTCAAAACATCAAAAAAAATTTGCTGTGTTCTCTTGGTTTACAGTTTTCTGATTTTCAAAATGATTTTTTTATCTGTTGTAACATATTATATGAAGAAATTTTTGAATCTTGATTTAATTTGTTATATACAAAATTTCCTGAAGCCTCTTTATATTTGAGGAATACATTATATCTAATTAAGGAAAAATAGGCAAAGTGTTATACTTTTCAGGTAATTGTAATTAAAACTATAGAACTATAGTCATTTTAGGGATAAAATATAGTATAGATGGTACATAATTTAGATCAAATGATTATTTATTAGGGTGTTATTTATATTATATTTTATCTTGGATAGAGATTACTATGTATTAATCTGTAAAATTTCTTTAGGAATTTAATGCTAGTATATCTTCTACGCAATGAGTAGAATCTATTAATTCTATCCCTTAAACCGTCTAGCAGCTAAATATACCTGCTAGAATATTTTTTTTTATATTTTTTTATAATTGCTTAAAA